ATTAATATTTTATGTATTATAATTAATTATTTAAAAATAATTATAAATTAATAAAATATTACTTAAATCAAACAATCTTAATATAACTTGTGCAAACTTAATACATTAGGAGACCATTACCATAGCTAATTGGACAGAAAACTCATGTGGAAGGGGGGAGGTAGTGCATGATTCCCAAAATTTCACCAAAACATAAAAATCTACTGTCAAGTCCAATAATGCAGTGGGGCCAACTGCGGACGCAGTTAGTACAATTCAAAAAAGAGTATCAAAAGCTACACAAACCGACAAAAGTAAAAATTTTGAGTTGTAGATACGCCACTTTCACGACCAGATTCAGATAACTTATTTTAAGGTTAAATGTTAAATTTGATCTTTTAATTATAGTGATTTGCATATTTTTTATCTTTTAATAATTTCTTTGTACTTTTTTGATCCTTTAATTATATGAAATGCACTCTGTTAGTCCTTCCATCAATTTGGGCAGTTAACTTTGCTTATGTGGTATTTTTTATATTTTTTTGATAATATAGATAATTCAACTAGAAAAAAATGATGACATGGATCGTCCAACTAAAAGAAATGATAACATGGAGATAAAATTTTATATTTTTAATAAAAAAAATAAGAAAACCTCTTCAACCTATTTTCTTCCTCCTTTCTTTTTCTCTTTCTTCCTCCTCTTATTGCTGCCTCCTCTGCTTACCGAACCCAGCAAAGCTAGGATCCACCAAACCTTCTCCCCCCTCTTTCTCTTCTTCCCCTCTTGCTTTCTCAAAACAAAATCAAAATCTTGAAAATTCATACTACTCCAATCTAGCTTAATGATCATATACTCACAAGAGAAATAGCCAAACCAAAACATACAAACAAAATTTTGCAGCATTCATAATACTAAATTACCATCCCACAACCACAATATTTGAAACAAAAATCCATCAAATAAAAGGGTTCAATATATGCATAGAAATTGCTAAAGTTACTAAACAAAAAAAATCTATAAACATGGGTTTGAAAACCCAAAAATTCAGGTTCCTTGAACCCATGTTACTGCTGGAACCCAAAATTGGGTTTGTTTAACCCAAATCGCTGGGTTCCATGGAATCCAATGATCTGAGTTCGTGAACCCGAATCTAGGTTCAAACGAACCTAGATTGCTGGGTTCGACAAAACCCGGATCTGGGTTTAAATGAACCCAGATCGTTGGGTTCCACAAAACCTAGATTTGGGTTTAAACAAACCTAGATTGCTGGATTTCGCAGAACCTAGATTTGGGTTCCACGGAACCCAGAATTGGGTTCAAACGAACCCAGCATTCTGGGTTCAAACGAACTTACTAGCCAGAGGAAGAAGAAAGAAAGAGGGTGAAGAAGGTTCGATAGGTCGCAGCAGGAGGAGGAGGAAGAAAGAGAAAGCAAGAGGGGGAAGAAGAGAAAGAGGGGGGAGGATCCTAGCTTGGCAGGGTTCGGTCAGCAAAGGAGGTAGCAGGAGGAGGAGGAAGAAAGAAGGAGAAGAAAACAAGTGGAGAGGTTTTTTTATTTTTTTATTAAAAATATAAAAATTTATCTCCATATCAGCATTTTCTCTAATTAGACGATCCATGTCATAATTTTTTTCTAGTTGGATTATCCATATCATCAAAAAAATATAAAAAATGCCACATGCGCGGAGTTAACCCTCAAATAGACGAAAGTACTAACAGAGTGCATTTCGTATAGTTGAGGGATCAAAAAAGTTCAAAAAAGTATTGAGGGTCCAAAAATGTTTATTTCTTAAAGTTGAAGGACTAAATTTAGCATTTAACCCTTATTTTAACTGTTTTTTTAACGCGTGACTTGCATGAGATTACTTTATAATTAATGTATATAAATAATATAGATATTGATTTTTAATTAAATTAATTAATTGATTAAATTATTTT